CTAATTAGCGTGTTTTAGTCCCGCAACCCTGCATAGCTACAAATCGATAATAAAAAAGCTAAAATGGCGGTGGCGCGGAGCGAAAACACGCTTATTAGCGATGGCGCAGGGCGAGGTTTAATGCATAAAACTTCGTCCCAATGGGGCGTAGAGCGAGGTTTTAGAAATAAAACGGCGGGATCGCGGGTTGAAAATAAATCTTCGCACCATGCCCGCGCTAATTAGCTTGCTTTCGTCCCGCGGGGGGGCGGAGCGAAAACACGCTTATTTGCAGGACGCTAATAAGCTTGTTTTCGCTCCGCACCCCGCCATTTTATTTATAAAATCTCGACCCGCGCCCTCGCGGGGCGAAATTCTATTTATTTAACTTCGCTCCACGCCCTCGCTAATTAGCATGTTTTCGTCCCTAGATTTCGCTGTTTTAACTTGTTAATTCTCGACTTTTCGCTTGGCTGGCTCGCCGGGCGAAAGCACGAATGGCACAAATCAGCCACCATATCATACACTGGTTTTATGTGTATTGCAAACTGATAATCAGAATTTTGGTTTGGCGGGGATTGAAAATGTCATTATTCATTGTTGGAAACAAATCTGATTTAACTTATTTCACTTACAAACAGGTGCAAACTTCGCCTTGTCAAATACACACATTGTATAAGTTTGAAAGCTTTGTACTCGTCCAATAGAATTCCGAATTATCTTCAACAATGTAACCAAACCTCGTATGATTTGATAAGTTTTATCATACATAACCAAACTAACGTTTCATTGTAAATATCTATACAAATCTCAAAAAATGCAATCACTATTTTCGTAAGCAAGAGTGCATAAACCATATATCACTTTGTTACCTTTAATATATCGATGTATTATCCAACTCAACACGAGCTTGTTAATGTTGTCAAATTGTTAATATATATACTTGATCCATGAATTTCAGTTTGTTTTGTTATCAATAATTTAACCTGTTAAGTGACCTTTATCAAATTTCGTCATGTGCAAAGTCATGTGCAAATTTCGTTATAACTGCTGTCATATTACAACATTTCTGTCACATATATTTTTATCACGAGAAACCTTTTAACCGTTTACCCCATATCTCAAACTTAAATGGAAGAAAGAAATCTAATTCTTACGTTTTTTGTAGTTTTTTTTTTCAATATATGATGCTTCAGATATTTCATTGCACATTCTTTACAACAATTTTGTGTTATACAAGAAACACAAAGACAAAAACAATAAATAAACCGTTTATAACAGTTTTCTATCAGAACATTGTAACAAATACGTCTGATTCTTAAACAAGTGTTAGCAGTTCATTGCCCGTTACTTAAGAAATATTTATGAAACAAGATCAACGTGTTAACAAACCGATGTAACAGTATGACCTGCTTCCAAGACAATGGGTTAATGCTTTCCAGTAATGCAGAAAGATGACCACTGCCGTTTGTTCAAAAGCTACAGAAAATACATTAATGTATGTAATTCATTGTTACTGTAAAATGTCCAGTTAGTGCTGCAAGTGCAAGAAGTCATTATAACCGCTGGGAATAAAAATAAAAATCTTTAAATGAAATCAAATATTGACACACGCAATACTACTGAAATGTTAATGCAAAATCATAGCAAATGGTACATGTGTAAAATATTCACAATTTATTATGGAAAATAAATATCTATCCCAGAAGAACGTTTATGTTTTAAGATACCGTACAAATATATCTATATAGAAAAGAGTTATATACACAAAAATTCATATCTTTCAAGAGTATAAGACTGAAAATGAGTTATTTAAGGTCTCAACCAAAGTTTCGAGTGAGGCAATTATTTCCTTCTATTTTTGTTATGATTTAAAACGTATTAAAACCTTAGCACGCGTTCTTCATATTACTTTCAAGACATATTTATTGTTGCACCTGCGTTTTCTTGTTCCTGGAACGATCGTGAAAACAGTTGTCTGTAGGCGAGTGTCATGTCAGTGTGTCTCAAACAGATTGCGATGCGGTGAATTTCGGTATAGGTGGAGTTTTGTCACAAATGCAGTTCAGTGAAAAACTTGGACAGTGTATCGAGGAGCCAATAGCATATGCAAGCAAAAGCTTGAATAAGGCCCAAAGACGCTATTGTGTAACACGTCGGGAACTTTTGGCAGTTGTTACATTTGTTACTATGTTTAAACAGTATTTGTTAGGACGTTCATTCCTAGTGAGAAGTGATCATTCTTCATTCAGATGGATTATGTCCTTCAAAGAACCAGAAAATCAGATGGCTAGATGGCTTGAAGTGCTATCACAATATGACTTTAAGCTAGAGCATCGCAAGGGATCTAAGCATGCAAATGCTGACCTTTTGTCGAGGATTCCGTGAGACCCTTGTTCGTGTACTTGTTATAGTGGTCACTCTATTGTAAGTGAGCTTTCGTGTGGAGGTTGTAAAGAATGTGTGAAAAGGCATGAACAGTGGTCGGAACTTGCAGATTTTGATGATGTGGTTCCACTGGTGTCTAAGAAAGTCAAGCAAGTCAGAGGAAAAGGTGTTCCTGCCGACTTAATTAGGGACTGTTCTGCATCAGTGCTGAATTTTCTGTTTGTTTTTGCGTTGTATCTGGGAGCGTTTCTCAGGCAAATTGAACAGAAATTTCGTGGTTGTGAGAAATTTGTTTCTGTGAGAAGACTTAGGGCAACGGAGGAAACGTGCGCCTAGGTCTGGTGCTGCGGATAACATTGATTTAAGTGATGCCACCAAAGAGAAGGATATGGCACAGACATCACATGCAGGGGGTCTGTACCCAAATGGTGACATTTCTTCTGAAAAAGTGTATAAGTTCTCAAATTGGGTAGGTTCGTATACCACAACTGAACTTATCAAATGATGAGGACATTCCACATCCAACAAAGCGGCAGAAAGTGAATCACACTGAATCATGAAACATTTCAAATTTAAAAACTTAACATGATTGTGTAAATTAATTGGTTTTGCTTCCAGAGTAAGCAAAGTCCAAAGGTGGGAGGGTGTTGTGAAATTTGAAACTAGTCTTTTACTAGAAGAGTATCCTTTTAGGATGGTATATCTGGACAACATTTCTAAGCAGGTTAAAATGTTTATGTTAACTTTTACTCATTTTTTGTTGTAAAACAATTGAGTCATTAACAGTCCAGAATATTGGCACAGCTCAGTTATTTTTAGAGAATGAGCATACATCATTCCAAATTTGGAAAGGTCGCGCAGCCAAAGGTCGCGCGACACTTAAGGTCGCGCAATAGGAAATGTTGCGCAGAATCAGCTTTCCCAGTCATGCTAGTTCCAAATATGGAGAGGTTGCGCAATAAGAGGTCGCGCAGACTAAAAGTACAAGGTTTAAGTAATAGAAAGAGCACCGAAACACGAGGTTATCCTATGTGTACGAGGGGGCGTAGCCCCCCGAGTATTAATCAGATTATCGAGTGTTTTGGTGTTCTTTCTCTTTTGTATCATAGTCAAACATAAAAACACCTTCCCTGTTGTTACCATTTTAAACCCCGGCAAAAATGAACCAATGAACGAGCATCTAAATATGACATATCTGTCGATTTCACTTTCACTGACGTCACAATATGTAAACCCCAGCAAAAATGAGCCAATCAATGGACATGCTCTGGAGTGCGGGTAACTAATACCCGCACTCCAGTTAACGCACTGTGCATGTATATGTTGTATACGATTTTACCCTTACACATTTTCAAAAGAAAGGTCTCCAAACTATGATACAAGTTATTTTTAGCTCTTCAGCATCTCAATTGTTGTTAAAGTTATATTCCTGGTCAAATTCATCAAAACAGATTGTCAAATTAACGCCTTATTGTTATCAAATGCATTATTTAACTAGTATTGACAAAGTTTTCCAACTTAGAAACGCTCTCCGTAACATTTCTGACCATTCTAAAAAATGCATTTTCTTATTTGACTGGGTTAGTCAAATAAGATTTATATTTTGGCGGGAAGCCCTTCGATTATTTCCGTAAATGTTCGGATCAGAGTCACGTGATATGATTTACCAAACCAAAATAATGGCGGACAATACGAAAGGTGTGTCACGTATACGAGAAATAAATTTTGAAATTCGAAAAGGAAAAAGCGAAAAGTGGAAAGAAACTGTGATTTAATTCAATCAAGGATATACTCCGGTAGTGATTCAAAGCGATGAAAAGTTCTAAAATGGGTAATTAAAGCCAAAAGCGACCGTGAAGTTGTTATCTGATTGACAGGTGAGATGATCATCGTTTTTGTTTGCATTTAATTTTTTCTTGGTCTTAGATCTACTTATAGAAAAATTTCACCTACGAATATATAAACACAGATATTGTGTTATAGTTTTTAGGATGGTTTTGACTTATGATAAAGAAATTAAGCTTGCAGATCCGCGTCTGTGTATCAAGTTTTCGTTCACTGTAATTTTCGTACCAATAAATTGTTAACAGGTTAAATATAAGATCAGCTGAGCCAAATCCTTTACAATTTTATGGCTTATGTTCATTGTAACCATTGAAATATCGTTTAAGATGGCCAATCATTATCTTTTAAGAATCATTTAAGACACAACAAAATTATATTTTGAATAACTTCTATTTTCCAATCACATTATTGTTTTTTTTACTGTAAGCTGTACTGTATAGTAACTACAATGCTGTGAAATAGATTAGCCACATGTGTCTCAAAAAGGGTTAGAACTATTGACTAGCAGAACAGGCATTTTTCAAAGCATGTTCAACTATCAAGGGTAGTCCTATAAATGTGACGTCCTTTGATTTTGAGATATTTTTGCTTTTGGGCAACCTTGACCGACATTTAAGCAATAACAAGCCTGTAAGTCTGATATATTGATCTACTATCCAGGGTTGTCGAATCTTCAAAGAAATAAAGTAGAAAAAATAAAATGTTGTCTGGAAAATCGCACAAAAATCATTATTTTTGTCTCATATTTGAATCATTTTGCAGTAAAATTTCAGCATTTCACAATTTGAAAAATAATCATGGACAATAACCATAATTGTGCTGGAAACGTTAGATAATTCTTATTGACAACCCTTCTTCCTTATAAGCAGTGCAGCAATTCATGTATTGTAATTGGTTTGAATAGTCAAGATTTTAGGCCATGGTACTAGTATGCTATATTTTCATTTACAGAAATAAATCTATTTCATCATCATCATGTGTTGCAATACCACTACCAGGGACATCAAAGATGACCTGGACTTCAGTGCATATGCAGAGGAAAGTAAGTACACCATTTTTGTCGAAAGTGACAGGTTATAATAATACCTTTCAAAATTGCTATATAACTATATACTTGCATAAATAATTTACTTATACATGTATAATTCATGTTTTTTTATTAGTTTATTGAACCAATTAATGGATATATACATGTCAACATGTGATCCATATATATCATGATCTGACAGATATTCATATGATTTAAATATTAAACAATAAATATAATGAATAATGACATTTTTTAAGTGGCATATAATACGGTATTAGAAGAGGAAGAAAAAAAACATGCATTACATGGTTAATTTTGGTCAAATTGAAAGATTTTGGTGTCATTTTAAATGATGAGTTTGATATTAATGTATGACTCCATAATATTATTATAGGTAATTGTTCACTGAGGTGAAAAAATAATAGAGGGTCATTATAGGTCTTAAATCCACTTGTGTAAAAATATATATGAGCCGCGTCATGACAAAACCAACATAATGGTTTTGTGACCAGCATGGATCCAGACCAGCCTGCTCTTCCAAGCAGTCTGATCAGGATCCATGTTGTTCGCTTACAAACCCTATAAGAAGGAGAGAAACTGATAGCGAACAGCATGGATCCTGATCAGACTGCGTGGATGCGCAGGCTGGTCTGGATCCATGCTGGTCGCATACGCACTATGTTGGTTTTGTCGTGACGCGGCTCATATATGGTTTTTGGAAAGGATTCTGTTATGTAGTCAATTCTCAGACCATACATCAAAATAGTTACAGATTCCTCAAAAGTGGAGTATACTTTCTTAGTTACAATCAAACATCATGAATTACTAATTTCTAGCTTTTTTTTTTCAAAGCTATTACATTCTATGTCAGATTGCTATGTTGGCATACAATTGCATTATTTAAATATTTTGAAATGTATCAACATGAAACTTGAAAGACTTGCTTATCAGGACAAAGTGTAATTGTTAAACAGGGGAGCATACATGTTGTTATGAAAGCAGTCATTGAATGTAGCACTGGCCCGGTGGCCCATAGCCAGTGAAAATTAGTTTGGACCAGTGTAAATTTTAAGAAAATGTAGTTAAATATATAGTAGAATAAATTCAAAACTGGAATTGGGGCCAGTGAATTCAAAATCTTAAATTCAATGACTGTGAAAGCAATATTTTTTTAAGTTATATCCCTTTTAAACTAAGAATTTTTAGCTCGACTTTTCTATGAAAAGGGGAGCTATCCTACTCGCCCCGGCGTCGGCGTTGGCGTCACACCTTGGTTAAGTTTTTCGTACCACCCCACTTTATTTCAGAAGTATTACAGTATGGCTTTGAAACTTACCATACTTGTTCACCATCATAACCTCCATCTACAGACAAGAGTACATAACTCTGTCAAGGTTTTTGACAGAATTATGGCCCTTTTTTGACTTAGAAAGTGTATTGAGCTTGGTTAAGTTTTTTGTACCACCTCACTTTATTTCAAAACCATTGGAGGTATTGCTTTGAAACTGACCATACTTGTTTACCATCACGACCTTCATCAACAGACAAGAGGACATAACTCTGTCAAGGTTTTTGACAGAATTATGCCCCTTTTTGACTTAGAAAATACATTGAATATGGGTAAAATCCACTTATTGCCTTAACCCTTTGAGATATTGCTTTGAAACTTTTAATGCTATTTCACATCATTACCCCCATCTGTACGCAAGAGAAGGTAACTCTGTCAAGGATTTGTTTTAAAAATTAAGGCCTTTTATCGACTTAGAATCTTGGTTAAGTTTTTAGTACCAGTCCACTTTTTGACTGAACTGTTTGAGATATTAATTTGAAAGTTGGAATACTTGTTTACAATCATGATTCCCAAACATGTCCAGGAGAAGGTAATTCTGTCAAAGATTTTATTTGAATTATGGCCCTTAACTGTCAATGTTTTGTATTATAGGCAAGCACTAAAAAAGTTTTTTTTCTTTCTTACCAGCCCTCTTTTGACTTAAACATTTCAAACTTTGCTGCAGTGTTCAAGGGTATCACACAATTCAGTAAAATAATTCTTCACTAAATATCTTAATGCTCATGGCCATTGTTCACTTTAAAAATACAGAGATTCTTGTATTGCCTTTTACTGCAAAAACTTTTTTTATTGGCAAGCAATAAAAAAGTCGAGCGCGCTGTCTTACGGACAGCTCTTGTTAATAGACTGGTGTTATCACTGCATGCAATACTGCTGTATTTGTTGTTAATAACAAGGGCAGATTCATGTCCTATAGTAAATGTTGGTGAAGACTGAATATATACAATTCTTAATTAATAATTATGTAGAATATTTTTCGCTAAAATGAAAAGGAATTCCACAATTGATTTTTTTTCTTCTAAATCTTAAGCAAGTTATGGTTTAATCTTCAGGTAGCACTAAAGAAAGCCAATAAAATCCTTTTGGAGTTGAATTGAGACACAACCATTCATTTCTGGTTTAGTTATAAAACTGCTACAGACTATAAACTATTCATGGTAAGTAAACAATTATTATATATTTGATTTTGTTTGAATGTTTGATATTTTTATATGATTATTCTGTTGCTCAAGAAATATTTAGATAAAATTCTAGATAGCAATACATAATTGTCATTTGTTGCAAGAAAATTAATGCATTCAAGATGTTTTGATGCATAATGTGGAATACTTCATAGGTTTATGGTAATACTTCATAGGTTTATGGTAAGCATTTTATATGTAAAATAAATGTGAAATGCTTAGTAATGTTTCATAAAACTTGTTAAAGGCTGACTTCTTTGCCATTTTTTTATGCATGCTTATTTGTCTTGATATTTCATTTCAGGGAATAATATATTTTAGTGTCTGCATCAATCTTATAGTTATTGAGCATGAATGGATTCTGTTTTCAGATGATGGAATACACCAATGCCTAGTACAATGCCCATTAGAAACCAGAACAAACCATGGCTGCAAAGGAAATAAGATGCACATAGTCTGAAAGATCTGGCTGGTGTTCTGAATAAGATGACATAATATCTCAACTGCAGGTATGTTCTCATCAGGTACAATAAAAGAAATTTATATTGACAGGGTTCCCTCTGGAGCAATTTTAGTTTGCACCACCAGATTGGCCAATCAAAAAAGTTGAAGCCAATGGCTCCAATGTTGGAACCATTAATTCTGCAAAGGAGATATGTCTATTTTTGTTGAGATATGCTAGCAGTTTGGAGTGAAATTTTTAAAAGGATTTATTTTCCTAACTGGAAAGGAGTATATGTCCTGATTAATACAAAGCTCATATGTCTATTGATTATAGAATGTTCAATGTTTACAGCACCTTTATATGTTAACGCAAATGGACCTACAACCATTATGTATAAATTAATTGGCACCTTTATTGCACTTATCAATTGAAGGATAGAGCTGTGTAAAATCTTTTCAAAGATAATTATTTACATACAGAGATTATATCTAGCCTATGAATATGTTAATGTTAAAGGATTTTTCCTTACTAAAATCATTTATATGAAAATATCTTTCCATTATTTGTATTCATTTTTAGAAGTACAGCTGGCATGTAGGGGTTTCAACAGCACATCTTGATGTATTGTACCAAAAGATTTGCTTACACACCACCTGTTTATAGGATGCACAATCTTCTTGCAGCCATAGATTATAATATACATGCAAATAGACCATACATCACCAACAAGGGGGATCTGTTAGGTATGCTACTTACAAAACTCCAACATGTAATGTTTCACAATTTTACAGAATGAAATGAAACAGTGTCCAGTTTGTGTTAATAAAGTGAATTGTTTGGAACTATAATAATGTTCAACATAGATGTACTCTGTACTGAGTCAAATATGGATGTAGCATGTTTCTTTGTTTATTTCAATAGAAAGATTTCAGTTCTTCAAACATATAAAGAGGCAAAGCCTAAATAAAATGTTGTGCTTTATCTTCTTTGGGCCTATAGATTTTCAACATTTATTTTTCATTTTTGCATATGAATATAAATGCTGCATATCTTAGTATTGAATGTTCCTGCCTCTATGAATTATAAGATATTTTTATTGAAAGTGTGATCACTATGCATTTATATTGCCTATATAATATTTATTTCAATCAAAAGAGATTTTGCAGTCTCTGAATAACCTGACTTATAAATTTTGAGGACATAATTACATGTAATGCATTTTGAGAATTTTATACACTTATGATTTTTGTTATAATATAACAGGCTTGTTAATTTCCCATTTCAGACTTCAGCGAGTCTGGATGAATTAAAGAAGAAGAAAAAGTATCATTATACCATTTTTCATGATGCTATAACTCTGAGAATTAGTGACATGGAGGGGATATATAAAATAGAAAGTTAGAGGAAGATGACCCCCACAGACTTTCAAAATATTTGGCCCAAGTTAGCCCGAAGCCTACCCGAGCCATTCATGAGGAACATAAATCAAGATATGATTGACTTTTTATGGAAAAGAATGATAAATAGTGTGTTACACTGATTGCCCAACTATTCAAACATATTTAAGCTGACATTGAACACCTGGTATTCATGATAGTTTTACGAAAAAAATTCTCTTGATTCATTTGTCATGACTCAAGGTCTGATTTTAATATTTTGTCAGAAAAATGACTACTTTTTATACAAGTGCAAAATATTATCTAATCTATTAAACTATAAGTGCTGCTATGAGCTTTAATGTAGTAATGAAGTTAAAAGTATTATTCAATTATATCTTTTGATATACATGTACTATGTCATTCACTTTAGCTCAGCTTTTCTTTTTTCTTTTTTTTTTGAAAAAAGAAATAGAGGTTGCTGCTGTTGCCTTCTGCAAACTTGAACCTTGTTCATAACTTTTAAAGTTCTTGGTGTATTGTCTAACCTTGGCCTTCATTCATAATTGACCTTGACCTTCAAGGCTAAATGTCTAAATTTTGGCTTTGCTTAGTGGCTTTAACTTTATTGCCCTTTGTTAATTTTCATATTTCATTTTTGTCTTGGCCATTTCTCCTAAACTATATTGTTCACAAGGCAACACATCCGACTCGCGGAGATCTAGTTGTTATTAGTCCATGAATTGTTTGTAGTCCAATCTAGTTTATTAGACCAACGACATAGGGGCATTTTATATAAAATCCTTGTTCAATCAAACAAGGCAAGCCTTAAAATTATCTTTGTATTTACTCCCTCATCCCATTCCAGTTCTGATAGGTAAGGTGGGCTGATAAAATATTTATTTTTGTGCCCCCACTTTAGTGGCGGGCATTTAGATTTACCCTTGTCCGTCCGTCCGTATTTTACCTAGAGTCATGAAACTTTACTGTAATGTTGATCAGCAAGTGTAGTTGTTCACCTTGGTATTTTCATCTGGATATTTTTAGTATTTTCAGAGTAACTGCCATTGAATTTTTGCAATTTTCAACTTGTGTCGCATGTTACTCAAGAAGTATTTGACCTAGAGCAATGAAACTTTACAGGAATGTTGAACATTATGTGTAGTTGTGCACCTGGGTATTTTCGTCTGGATTTAGTATTTTGAGAGTTATGGCCCTTGATTTAGTAAAATTTTGCAATTTTCAACTTGTGTTGCATGTAACTCAAAAAGTATTTGACTTTATAGAGTCATGAAACTTTACAGGAATGTTGATCAGCATGTGTAGTTGCGCATCTGGGTATTTTCGTCTGGAATTATTTAGGATTTTTTAGAGTTATTGCCCTTGAATTGGTAAAATTTTGCAGTTTTCAACTTGTGTCACATGTAACTCAAAAAGAATTTGACATAGAGTCATTAAACCTTACAGGAAGCTTGCTCAGCATATTTAGTTTTGCACCTGGGGTTTGGCTTGTGGATTTATCCAGTATTTGTAGAGTTATTTCCCTTGACTTAGTAAAAAACGTTTCATTATGTTGTTATTTGTTCCTTGAGTGCTTGAGTACTTTACAGGAATAATGATCAACATCACTAAATTACAGGAATAATGATTTACATCACTGTGAAGCTATGAACCTGGGACTTTCATGTGGATTTTTTCAGTTTTGTTAGAGTTATTGCCCTTGACTTACAGTAGTATAAATTTACAATTTTCAACTTGTTCATGCATAGCTCAAAAAGTATTTATGTTTTCTTTCATTTCATTTAGCCAAACATAAATAATTTATCATTTAACTCCATAATTAATATCCTACAGGGATAAAATATAAATAAGAAAGACAATATAGGAGTGGCTACTACAGGTTCACTTTAATTTATCGAATAATTTACAATTTTCAACTTGTTCATGTATAGCTCAGAAAGTATTTCACTTGTAGGCCTGAATGTTTAAAAGAATGTTGGTCAGCATGTGCACTTATGCACCTTGGGGTTTACTTGTGAATTTATTCAGTATTTGTAAAGTTCTTGCCCTTTACTTAGTAACAGATTTTTAGTTTTCAAAAAATATTTGACCTAGAGTCATAAGATTGACAGAACAGTGGGGGGGGGGGACCCGTGTCCTATGGACACATTCCTAGTTATTCAAAATGTTTGTCTTGTTTTATTTTTCATTAAAATTATATGTAGTTCAAACAAATTGTGAATGCATGAAAGCATCTGTTTTACTTGAAAATTTAGAACCATATTTTCAGTTTCAATCAACAAATATCCCAACATCTGTATATTTACAATTAAAAAATCACGAGACAGTTAAAAAGATGTCATTCTCATTGACACTCTGATTTCATTTTAGTAAACAAATCCTGGGCAATAAGATATTTTAGGTAGCTGTGCTATTTGTAGGTAGGTTGCGGGAGTGGGGAACAAACAATATTTTACATTCAGGGGTAAGCCTAAGTTTTTAGGCTGGGTAGGAACATTGCCCTTCCCCAGATAATGGCACCAACTGATTTTGAGGTAATTAGATTTAAAGCTCAAGATGGCATAAAGTTTAACTTCCTTTAAATATGTGTAGCATTGTAAGGTATAGTTTGTTTAACCCAGAAGGAAAAATCCTGATTGCCACTAGTTTTAAGATTGGTCCATTTGATTATAAGTTCAAGGTCTCAGTGACATGTAAACTCATGGTCCCAAGGTTTTGAACATTTCCAGGGAAATTGCTTAGATTAGTAATTAAGCATTAGTTTGGAGTTAATAAGGTCTAAGGTCACAATGGCTTAAGCATCATATCCTTCATCACCAGAAACCCATAAGGGGTTAGCTCAAGTTCATACAATTTGGTTGGAATTAAGATATTATTTATTTCCTTCTACAATATTGGCCATCTTCACACTTTCTCTTCCTGTTAAGACAGCATGGATTGAATAATAAATAAAACTATAACTGTAAAGAAGTCACTGTTGTACAATTTTAAGAGTAAGAAAAAGAAGATATGCTGTTCATTTGAAAATATTATATTGTTGTTTTACTGCCAATGTTCAAATACATGTTTCAATTTATCTGTGTTTTTGTTATTTTAACAAAATTCCAAAATGTGTCCTGAAACGTGCTAAGAGAAGTGGAGTGTAAATTAACATTGAAAGGTATTTGTAAAACATTGTTACAATCTGTGATCTTATTTGAATTTTAAAAAAAGTACATTTGACATCAGAAAATAGAGAAATAAAGAATTCCTGCAGAAAGCCCAAAATGACAAAATTGAAACTGTTGCAGGCTCTATTTGGTGAGCCTGTTGGAAAGTGCAAGTTACCGTCCATGCCCCTCTAGCACCAGCTTTAGCAGAATTCAACATTTGAACATAAAGTGGTGAAATTTATGGTTTTATGCCATACCGGTGTACATAATCCAGAGATTAGGATTTAATTCTTGGCAATCTTATAATCAGTGGAATGCAACTGTTCATTGTTAACAGAATAATATTTACACAGGTTGCACTGTGTTTGTATTGGAATGAAATTCTCATTAGTACATTATTTTCCATAATGTGCACTTTTACAAAAGGCTAACATAAAAATCAGGTCTTGAGTGATCATTTTCAAAATTATAGGCATCAGAACTTTAACTTGGTCCTTTTTCCATTCTTGTTTGCTTATAAATTGAAGTATAATAATACATTATCATATATCAAACGGTTGAGTCTGTAGATGTTAAATATGTATTGGCTTTTGCATGCAGTTGACTGGTTATTTAACCCTATACAGGTTATTACACCAGATTGCCAAATTCTATTTCTTTCATTATAATTTCCTAACACAGACACTTGGGTTTGGAGCTCAAAACGCCTTTAAAAAAAAAAAAAAACAAAAAACAAACAAACAAAAAAAAAAAAACTTAATATAAGCCGTTTTGAAAAAAAATCATATTTCAACATCTATAATATAATACAGATTGAGCACCAAAGCCCGGCCAAGTGTCTGTGTTTCATAATATTTACATGACGCACACTACTGTATGCCATATTACTACGATGGAAGCTTGGCAATAGGTACGTATTATTTCTGGTACGAACCGATCATAAAGAACGGCTAATTTACCGATTTCAAATAACCACAGCAACCGTACGACTATAGTCATGACCAACGCGCCATCTTCTTGTTTACTGTAGATCTAGTGAGAGTCTCAGATTTTGTTCTTTTTCCGATTGTTTCGTAACGCGTTACGAGGATATAAGCTACATTCCTTAGCTAATAAATAGCTTTTCATATCGTTTATTAATTACAAAACATAAAATAAAATTGCATCCGTCATTTATATTATATCTCCTAATATCGGGGTCGCAAGTTTGTTGACGTTTCTAATTATAGCGTTTCCGAACTTGTTTCTAATTATAGCATTTCCGAACTTTTCCGTATGCAAATGAGTTAATTCCGAATGAAACCGATCGGGCCCGAGAGCTTTTACAAATGGCGGGGATTTCAAAAACTGGCGATATTATATCCAGTTGCATCCGAGTGTTTCGGCGAAATAAGATTGAAATTGTATAGCAGTTCATCATTAATGAGGATATACTTATGATTTAGGTGATAATTTCTGAAAACTAAGTTGTAGGGTAAAATATCATCGTTGAACGGTATTATAACTTTAACAAAGCATAATTTGGTCATATCAGATTTTATGAATGGGATTCCTTCCTGCTTTATCTATGTACAGGTTACTTGGTTCAAATGATGAGCTGTATGTTGTAAAGCTGGAGAGATTATATTTCTGTTGTTTAATGAATTATCAGTCAGTAGTATAAGTTTATAGAATCGTCAATCAGTAGTAAGTGTATTGGTCTTAGAAGCCATATAAAGTACATATATCTTTATTAATACAAGTGTATTTTGCACTATTACATGTATTCAGTTGCATTATTGGACAGATAATAATTATGCTATTGAGTGTTTACATGTAAATTTATATAACTATTATGTATTTTTGTACATATGTCTGTATTGTACAACAGTCTGTATACCTGAACTAGTTGCAGGCCATTTTGAACATTGCTAAGGCTTTGTCAACATTTTAAATAGGTTGCGCAACATTCAGGTCGCGCAATGAGTTGTGTGCCAAACTGGTTAGCGCAAGTGGGTCGGGCGACAATCTACTTTTGCACACCACCCTAGCTGCGCAAACAGAAGGGTATATAAGCTGGGAACTTTTCTAGCTGAGTTAGTTTTGGGAGTGTGTTGGGGTTTTGAGTTGGAGTTGGTTGAGTTGATTTAGTTAGTAATTGAAGAAATGTATTTGTTGAAGTTGTTAAGAATTTTACTTTGGTTTTGACTGTTGATAGAAAATAAAATGATGCATTATTTTGATTTACTGCAATAAATATAATCCTGTTTTCACTTGGACTGGACTTGTTCATTATACCAGCATAGAGAAATGGTTTACTTTTAAGCGAAAAAGTGAATAAACAAAGCTTTTCACAAAAGATAAGTTTTCGTAACAATATGGAAATTGTATATATGCCAATTATAAGGAGGTTATTAGAAATAAATTTGTATGACATTTATCAAGTGATGGTGCAACAGTTAAAAAGGAATATTTTTGGCTTCTGTAAAGAAGGCATTACAACAAAACTTACTAACTTATCTGTATGTTCTTGCTTGATCACTACTGAATGTATTCAAACTTATCAAAACATTTTGAAGCAATATTCTTTTTAATTTTGTTTATTTTACATCCAACAAAAGATACCAATGAGCACAATTCTGAACGTTTATGAATGTCAGTTATAAGATTATGTAAATTTCCAAAATATACTTAATTAGGCAAACAGTTGAGCATTCGATGCAGCTTATGTTAAATACATCGTTTGATTAGTAAAAGGTGCAGGCGTGTATTTCACAATAATATTCGTATGCTGTTTATTATGTCGTTTATGATTATATCACTATGAGGTTAAGTCATTTAGAATGCCAACGGACACCAAGCTACATGCCTTCATAATCAGTTCAACAGAAAATCGCACTTTATGAAAATATTTGGATATACAATATAACCATGCATAACTGTTTTATTGCAAGTGTTAGGGGATTGGTTTATGATAATAAATTCCCAAAAATCATTAAAAGTGAATATTCTCCTAATTATATTTGCGCAAATATAACATATTTAAGTAGGCGGCTTCCAAATCGACTAAACAATGTTAATGGCATATTGCTGTAATGATAATAAATTCATGAATTAGATTCAATAGACAAAATCCTGTACATGTTTTGCCTAAAACTAAACTGTTGAATTGTTTATTTAGTAATAAATATGTCCTTAGTAATGCATTGGAAACGAATCTGTACCTTTAATAAACAAGATAACTTATTATTAGTTGCAAAAAAGTGTGCACTTAGTGCATGTAGTGACTTTGAAATTATTTATACATAAATAAGCCAACTAGTGACAAATTTGGTATTAAAATTTACAAAAATGTATTGACCAAACTATGGTGGCGGCTGATTTGTGCCATTTGTGTTTTCGGCCCGCGAGATCGAAAACACGCTAACTAGCGAGGGTGCGAGCGAAGTTTAATAAATAAAACTTTCTCCGGAGGGGCGCTGAGCGAGATTTAAGAAATTAAACAGCGGGGTCGAGGGACAAAATCACGCTAATTAGCGCGGGCGCGGGGCGAAGTTTAATGATAAAACTTCGCCGCACGCCCCCACTAATTAGCGTGTTTTAGTCCCGCAACCCTGCATAGCTACAATTCGATAATAAAAAAGCTAAAATGGCGGTGGCGCGGAGCGAAAACACGCTTATTAGCGATGGCGCAGGGCGAGGTTTAATGCATAAAACTTCGTCCCAATGGGGCGTAGAGCGAGGTTTTAGAAATAAAACGGCGGGATCGCGGGTTGAAAATAAATCTTCGCACCATGCCCGCGCTAATTAGCTTGCTTTCGTCCCGCGGGGGGACGGAGCGAAAACACGCTTATTTGCGGGACGCTAATAAGCTTGTTTTCGCTCCGCACCCCGCCATTTTATTTATAAAATCTCGACCCGCGCCCTCGCGGGGCGAAATTCTATTTATTTAACTTCGCTCCACGCCCTCGCTAATTAGCATGTTTTCGTCCCTAGATTTCGCTGTTTTAACTTGTTAATTCTCGACTTTTCGCTTGGCTGGCTCGCCGGGCGAAAGCACGAATGCCACAAATCAGCCACCATATCATACACTGGTTTTATGTGTATTGCAAACTGATAATCAGAATTTTGGTTTGGCGGGGATTGAAATGTCATTATTCATTGTTTGAAACAAATCTGATTTAACTTATTGCACTTACAAACAGGTGCAAACTTCGCCTTGTCAAATACACACATTGTATAAGTTTGAAAGCTTTGTACTCGTCCAATAGAATTCCGAATTATCTTCAACAATGTAACCAAACCTCGTATGATTTGATAAGTTTTATCATACATAACCAAACTAACGTTTCATTGTAAATATCTATACAAATCTCAAAAAATGCAATCACTATTTTCGTAAGCAAGAGTGCATAAACCATATATCACTTTGTTACCTTTAATATATCGATGTATTATCCAACTCAACACGAGCTTGTTAATGTTGTCAAATTGTTAATATATATACTTGATCCATGAATTTCAGTTTGTTTTGTTATCAATAATTTAACCTGTTAAGTGACCTTTATCAAATTTCGTCATGTGCAAAGTCATGTGCAAATTTCGTTATAACTGCTGTCATATTACAACATTTCTGTCACATATATTTTTATCACGAGAAACCTTTTAACCGTTTACCCCATATCTCAAACTTAAATGGAAGAAAGAAATCTAATTCTTACGTTTTTTGTAGTTGTTTTTTCAATATATGATGCTTTAGATATTTCATTGCACATATTTTTAAACAATTTTGTGTTAATCAGGAAACACAAAGACCAAAAAAATAAATAACCCGTTGATAACAGTTTTCTATCAGAACATTGTAACAAATACGTCTGATTCTTAACAAGTGTTAGCAGTTCATTGCCCGTTACTTAAGAAATATTTATGAACAAGATCAACGTGTTAACAAACCGATGTAACAGTATGACCTGCTTCCAAGACAATGGGTTAATGCTTTCCAGTAATGCAGAAAGATGACCACTGCCGTTTGTTCAAAAGCTACAGAAAATACATTAATGTATGTAATTCATTGTTACTGTAAAATGTCCAGTTAGTGCTGCAAGTGCAAGAAGTCATTATAACCGCTGGGAATAAAAATAAAAATCTTTAAATGAAATCAAAGATTGACACACGCAATACAATTGAAGTGTTAATGCAAAATGATAGCAAATGGTACATTTGAAACATATTCACTATTTATTATGGAAAATAAATATCTCTCTCAGAAAAACGTTTATGTTTTAAGATACGGTACAAATATATATGTATAGAAAAATAGTTATGTACACTAAAATTCATATTTTTCAAGAGTATTAGACTGAAAATGTGTTATGAAAGGTCTTAAGCAAAGTGTCCAGTGAGGCAATTATTTCCTTCTATTTTTGTGATGATTTAAAACGTTTTAAAAACTTAGCACGCGTTATTCATATTACTTTCAAGACATATTTATCGTTGCACCTGCGTTTTCTTGTTCCTGGAACGATCGTGAAAACAGTTGTCTGTAGGCGAGTGTCATGTCAGTGTGTCTCAAACAGTTTTGTTGCGGCTCACATAATAATTTTAGATTACGAAGGCGTACGTCTAGTAAGAAATTGTTCAATCAGAAATGCATATCTCATTTGTAATTTAAACTATCCAACTGATGAAAGGGTAATTGCATAAAATCAAACAGTCAAACAACTTCATACAAACGGCTCAGCCTTTGATTAATGATCAAATCAAACGTAAAAAGCGCAATAAAAGGGCACTGATCATGTTCAATATTTTAAAGACCCATTATGTTAAGGAAATGCTTTTATTTTTTATCTTGCAAAGACCTTTTTCATTTGTGTTGTCATTTGTTCAAGCTTTCAAACAACGTTGTTTATTGACCAATTAACTGAACCATCTTTTGCTTCTGTTTTCTAATAAGTACAGTTGTATTGGTTAACTATTTTGTATGGAAGTCAAAATACTGCTGTGTTAACATTTTGCTACATGTTTTGCAAATAAATGCATTGTTCTCTAGTTCTTCTTTCTTTCTGTGAAAGACATCTTACTTGCTCTGAAATGTTATTTAAATGAAATAAAACACATGCTTGCCCTTTCTGAAGATGTCTACCGTGGCAAAATACGCTTTAAATGACCGTTCCAAGGCGAAGCCTCTCTGTGTTTCTCATGTATATGTCTTTATTGTTTCATACTGTTTTTGTGAAACTTTTGTTTGTGGCCCTTGTTGTTTTCTCGTCTACGGTAAGTATCTTTCCTATTGACCCTATTTTTCAAATTTTGCCCCTCCATTCCCCGAAACTTGTGCTCCTTTCCCTGTGCCCTTTTACTTTGTGGCCCTATTAATTAATCAGTTTTTTTAATATCCTTGTCGGTTACTATTATGTCTTTTCAAGTATCATTTTAGTGATTATCCTGTCCGTGCTCTGTCTTGCGCACTGTTTGGGGTCCTCCTGGATTCCTTCGCGCAGGTTTTTGTTGCTGGATCGTGTGGGGGTTGCAAGAAAAGAGGCAAAACAATTTTAAAGCTGCAGACTCGACATTTACACTTTCAACGCATAAATGCACGTTTATAACTTGCTTCAACCACGCAATTATAAATTTAGTATCATTATTGAGTCTATAACCTTTCACAGACGAGTGGCTTAAGTACAAGGAACGTACAGTTTTATTATTCACCTACAAGTTAGTGTCATCAAAGCATTGCTAAATGGTCTTCTAGCAATTTGTAGTTGTAAGTAATCATTATTATTCATAATTTCAACCAGTCTGAAACTACGTTTATATAGAAAATACATAAGTTGTTTAATATATTTAACCAGGCACGATTACAATACAATACGAACCATTAAATGAGACATTAGCGGAATTTGATAAAAAATATATAGATCAGCCAGGAATTGAAATTGGTTTAAGGATACATCATCAGGCCGTAAGAAGTTTGAAGATGCATAATATGAAGCAGAATAATGTTCTAAGATAATCATATCAGGCAGAATCGGACTTGAAGATGCATTATATCAGCCGGGCATAGGTAACAAGATACAATATATCAGTCTGATATATGTATTAAGAAACATTATATCAGTCTGATATATGTATTAAAAACATTATATCAGTCTGATATAGGTATTAAAAACATTATTTCAGTTTGATATAGGTATTAAGAAACATTAGATCAGTTTGATATAGGTATAAAAATACATTATATCAGGCTGACGTTGATAGTAAGATACATTATACCAGGCTGACATATGTACTGAGATACATTATATCATATTAGACAGACATGGGTACTAAGATAAAATTTACCAGGCTGACATAGGCTCTATGAAACATTATATCAGGCTGACATAGGTACTGAGATACATTATATCATATAAGACAGACATAGGTACTAAGATAAAATATACCAGGCTGACATAGGCACTAAGATACATTATACCAGGCTGACATAGGTACTAGGATACATTATACAAGGCAGACATAGGCACTAAGATACGTTGTATCAGGCTGACGATACATTATGCCAGGTTGACATAGGCACTTATATACCAGGATACATTATATCAGGCTGACATATGTATTTAGATACATTATATCAGGCTTATTTAGGTGCTAGGATGTACATTATATGAGGCTGACAAAGGTACTAAGAAACATTATATCAGACTGACATAGGTACTCAGATACATTACATTAGGGTGAAATAGGTATTTAGATATATTATATCAGGTTGACATAGGTACTCAGATACATTACATCAGGGTGAAATAGTTACTAAAATATATTATATATGGCTGACATAGGTACTCAGATACATTATATCAGACTGATATAGGTACTAAGATACGTTATAACAGGCTTATATACATTATATCAGCTTGGCTTTTGTACTAAGATTCATTATACTAGTATCAGGCTGACATAGGGAATAAGATATATTATACATTGTATAAGGCTGACGTTGATACTAAGATCAATAATATTAAGTAGGAATAAGTTAAGTATTAAGATAAATCATATCACGCTGGCATTGATACTAAGATTAACACTTTATTTCATATAGACGGGTTTTGACGGCTTTTCGACCCACCTACCCCCCCCCCTTTTGAGGCCTCAAACAGTGAAATATTACACTATTTAGGCCCAAAACACTGTTTTTCGCTTGGGAAATGTTGTTAAGAAAAGTGATCACTTTTTAGGCGCCGCACTTATCAAAACGGTACATCAGGGCGTGCCAGAAGGAGGCTGTGCCCCTTCTGTTTAAGGGGTTTGAAGGGGGCGGAAGTTTGTGTAAAATCCGGTGTATAGTAGTTATGCAGTTCCTAGCTTTCAAATAATTTGTAAATATCTCTTTGCAAATATTTGTTTTTCGTATTAATCATGAAAACTATACATGTATTTATGCATTGAATAGTTGAAACAAATTATAATTATACAGGAATAAAAACAAACTATTAAACAACAAGAGAAATGATCACGAAACAGTTTATTATTTCAATAGCACAATGTTTACATAAACGTTTGCGTACACTATGAAGCTCTTAATGGGTAGCTTAGTTTGTTTTTATATATTCCCACCCATATATTTCATAAAATCTATTTACATATAACAATAAATTTTAACAAAACAAATAATTTTATACAGAATAGTCTTCTAATCAAAATGAATTTCTAACAGGTACAGTAAATAGGCTAAATGAAAATAAAGTTAATAAATATAAAGTCAGTTTTGGAAACCAAATCCAAAAGCAAAGATAATTTAATAATTTAAAGATTAAAAATACTAAATATTTCGTAGATTTAAATGAAACTTGAGTAAGCAAAATATAGCCCATAGCAACAAAAGCAGGAAACAAAAGAATCAAAACTAAACTTTATCACACAGCTGCTTGCAAAACAATTCTAAAAATTTTGTTGTCATACATTCTACGACGTACATTTAACATTTGTGTATTACAAATTACAATGTACGTACGGTATAGGAAATGGTGAAAAAGCAGAACAAATGAACACAATTATCTGTGAATGGAAAATAAAATACAAACAATGATGAACAAAACAATTGAGGTTTTTTCCACAACGGATCTATAAACATTTCTTCTAAAAGAACTGACTGTATCATGTTTAATATATTTTTACTTTGTAGTTAAACTTATGTCACCGCTTAAATATCAAATCACTATCAAATACCAGTAAATTTGTAGATCTTACAATATAACGATACCACAAAAGCAAACTTTACAAAAAGATAAAATAACAGCTACGTGACTGACACAATAGAGAAAAAAAGCATACCTATTTTCGGAAACATGTCTTAAAAGACAGCACGTTACATTTAATAAACATTTGAACCAGATTAAGTATATACAGAAACGCTTTCAAATTAACAACGGTTTTACACTTCTTTTGGACATGTGTATACATGTACTAGTCTGGTATTTATGACTGCGATAGGTCAAATGTATCTAAGTCCGTTCTTTGTATTTGTCTGAATATGATAAATTCCATTTTGATCTGTATAAGTCAGAATATAATGTTAATATTGTGTTCCCTAATTTGTCATTACAGGAACAGGCCAATTGAAACAAACTAATTTTTAGGAATTCATCTAGCAGTTGTCAGAGCTTCCAACGGAATTACTCAAGGAAAAACTTCAATAGAACTCAACGTAATTTAATTGAGAAAACGTGTTCAAAGAGAAAGCGTTTTTGTACAAAAAGAAGTAATCTTATTTACAGAAAACTATAAACACAATTACTACGCACTGTTTAATTGAAAGCACCGAGTCAGATTTTGGTCTGTTAAATGTTAGACCTGACATGTATGGGCTGTACAACATTAAATCATGTAACTCACAGTATCATTATTGTTAATATTTGTATTTGTAAATTTTTGTGTTTGTTTTGTAAAACACAATATTGTCTGGAAATTTAGGAGTATTCTGTTTGAATTACTAGAAGTCAATGAAGATTATCATTCTAATTTTATTTTGAGAATAAGTTTTGCTTACCATTTTTTATAAACTGATGTCTCTGGGTTTTTTATTCAAAAGACATGTATATATCTTATTGTATGTCCGAAAAACAGAATCGTAAACAATTGTTTCCTTATGAAAACGTCGTCACCGTCTAATGTTTTGATTAATATCGATGTTAAATGTATTGAAATATTATACAGTATAAAACATGTCTTACAAAATGAACAAGATAGGAAATAATAAATTTAATGCAAATAGGCATTTCTTGTTTATAAACTATTTTAGATATCAAACGAGTGTTGTTTTGTTTCCCGCAGTGCTGATAAGTTATAAACATTATTGCTCCCATAGATTTTCTAGGTTAGCGTTAGACAATCAGACTTTACGTAAATAAAATACAAGAAAACATTTATTGTCAAACTCTGTTTACACGAAAATAATTAACAATATTATCTTACAAATAAATCTGACTTTAATAAATAAAAAGTTAAAATATTACAAACATCTATGTGATGATTTAATTTCACGCATGCATCATTCACACAAAAATCTCGCATACTAAATGTTCATCATTTGCTAAAATAAGCTAAGTATATAAATGTATACATAATAATCATGAAAACAAAACAAATGAAGTAAACATGAGTTATATATATATAATATATATTTTTACATTTTTGTTTAAAACAATAACATTAACGGTTGAAAAGTCCTGACGTTGTGTGGTACTTGTAGTAGTAGAAATAAATATAACCGTTTTCCGATTTATCACACATTTTTCTATCACATGTCAATCAAATACTCTCGATATTCAGTCAATTTGATCAATCATAATAGTACGTTAATTACTTAACCAATAGTTTTGATTATCATGACGCGGCACTTTACCTTTACGTGGATGTTAAAGTCATAAAGCCAAGTAGCGACAAAACCCTTGTAACTGTTAGCACATTATGTACTTCAATTTCTTTTAATTTCCTTTTTGCACTCAAAAGATGTAAATGATTAATGAAATCTGCAGACCGACAGACAACACATTTTGTAAGAGACGAATTAACGATTTTTTTCTCCTTTTCATTATTCAAATCATTTTTTTGCCGTGAACACTATTTGAAATTATTATAAATAAGCTCATACATATTGTAACAACACTTTTATTACGCCAGATGTGTATTAACAAATAAAATTTAACATCGATGTTGTGTCTAGCATTTGTCTATCATTCAAGTTAGAAAAATTCTTACATATTTTTTTCAATTCAGCTTTCGCGTAACAATGTTATCTCAGTGGTAATGGGACTTCAAAGAAAAGAGGTATTTACACAGATTTCTGTTCACCGTTCTGACATTTAATGTATCCTATGGAAAAATTCATCTTTTTTGTCTCGCCGATTTCTTTCGTGTAACTGCGTAAAGCAGTTTTGATTATGTATGGTAAAGTTTTCGGCTAATCTCAGTGGACGTCAGTCCTTTATAAGGCTGTCTCCGGTCCAGTGAAAACAGTTTTTCCATTTTCGGTAGGAAGAGTCATGTACTGTGAACACTCCTTGTCAACAGGCATCGGACCGCCCTTAAAAAGTCTTTTAAATGTTTCTCTAAACTGGCGACTCATCCCGCAGTATATGAAAAAATTCAGAGGATAGCTTAACAGAATAAAAAAGTTCGACATAGATGTCATGATACTGTAAACATGTTCCGAGAATAGTTCTAGCGCGAATGTGTTATCAGTGACGTATAACGTCATGATGATACCCAGCGGGAACTCAACTAGCAAGAAAAGTCCGACAACTGCGACAAGCATCAGTGTTGTGCAGTTGCTCTCCTTTAATTTCCGCGACTCACTCTTTTTGTTCTGTTTCAAAAGCTGCATGCGCCGTATTTGGGCCTTTCTCATTGCAGATATCAACAAGCCGTTCAGGACCACCAGCGATATGCATGGCACAAGGTGGATAAATATGATTCTAAACCAGAAATATATATTTTGATACATATCCATGTGATTCATAGCCCACGTCCGAGGAATATAGGAACATCCTATGACAGTTTTGTTAGGCGAGCTAAAACAAGGAGCAGGCATGGGAATAGTATAAAAGTCGATAAACCTTGTGAGCTGTGAAATAAACGCTATAACGTAAACTATAACAGTTGCTCGGAGCACGTTCGGAATCGTGCACCAAGTTCTTGCTTGCAGCGAATGGCAAATGTAAATATATCGCTGGGCCGCAAGTCCAACAGTAAGCCAGATAGATGCCGTGTGAAATATGGTTGGAATATTTTCGTATAACATCTTGTACGGTAAGCACCATCCGAATGGGACAAATTCCTTGTAGTGACCCATTGAAAAGAAATATATAAATATAGGTAATGGTATAACACCGGTCATCATATCGCTAAATGCCATTCCTGCGAGAAGGACGTTTGTTGGCGACCTCATATGCTTCTTCAGAAGGACTGCTATTACTAACGTGTTGGTTACAACTGTTAGAAGAACCAGTACTGGTGCTATATATCCGTTAATTGGAACGCTGTATTTCAGTGGGAAAAGAGATGTAAAGTGCAATAGACGAGGTCCATCAGGTATATCATACATTTCATCTCCGTATGAGGCACCATCTGTCATATTTAGACGCTTCCTGAAAACATAAACAACATATATAATACATTTACACACGTTCCGAATGCAGAAACGTAAACTAAGGTAAACTTGATCTTATTATTATGAGGATAAAACTAGGAAATAATTATTCGATAATAAGATTTGTTGCTAGACCGTTTTGGGTTGCGTTCGTCTATATTATAACATGGTCATATCTAGAACGATATTATAATTAATGTCTTTGTGACAGTGTTTTGTTGGGGGCTGTGTTCTATGAAATATAACAATATATCATTTTTTTGCACAACGGAATATACAACATTTCAGTATTAATTTAGTTCAATTTTTTTTTAATAACTTGATATTACTGCTAATACCGATAAGTATTTCGGTTTCTTTCTTCGGTAGGTTCGAAAATACTAATTTTGTTTGCGTCATAATTTTGAAAATTATTAAATATTATAGCATTAAATCGTTTTTTCCCCTATTTAGCCAATGTTATAACGGTACCAAAACCATGTGTTAACATAGTCACGCACTCTTGTTATAGCACGGTTTCACCTATGCGCAATACATACAGGTCCCAGTAAACAAACCAAAATATAATAATACGATTTGGCCTGTTTGCCAAAGAGTCATACGCTCTTGTTTCATTGAAATTATTGATTCGAGGGTCTAAATCGCATTTAATACGGCGAGCAACATTCAAGAAACTATGCCGGAAATACGGAGTTAAGACATCGCTGCTAATCATTGTTGTAGCCCTTTCTAAAAAACGGACAGTTGTCAATGTAAACAAATATTCAGTTTAACCCCCCCCCCCCCCCCACGATTAGCTTACAAAACAAGATAACACACAATAAATATGACAAAATGTTGTTTCATTGATGTTTCTGTTGATAAATGCTCTTTATATTTCTTTGAGGGAATAATGTTTAGTGCCTGATTTTTTTATAAACTTTTGTGCTTGAAAAAAACCGATTCTGATGTCACTAATCTTTTTTCTACCCTCAATATGAAATAATTCTAAGAATTTCTGAGGGTCATGTTTTGTCTTGGGTAGAGGGTTGAGTAATGTAACGTTGTTTTTTTTTTCTTGGGATAATAAATCTCCAGTGTCAAGCTTTGTTAAATCAATTAAAATTCAAAATTTCGTTTGGTTCTGAGAATTTCCTAAGTTTTGGCCCAGGAAAAGTAAAACGCATACATGTACGTAAAATATGTGGAATTGGATAAATACCGTCCAAGCACAAGTATTTAATGTAATTGTTTTATGTATTAAATATACATCATGAATCTGTTTTAAAATGTTATGCTTTAATAGCGTCAACACACGTTTATTTCGTGTTATAAAGTCTGCAGAGTCCCTCAGAACTGTTGGAGCCAACCGTTCCTCGGGACTCTGCAGACGTTATAACACGAAAAAACGTGCGTTAACCCTATATAATAAAATATGTCATGTTAGTTATTGATTTTAAAAACTATCATTTGAACTGGTAGTTTATTTACCTAGACAGATTGTAGAACACTGAAGCGTTTGTGTTTGGTATACTAGCAATGTCGCCTTCCATTCCAGCTGACTTTAGTTCCGTACGTCTTGAATATTTGATAAATCAGTCACCTGTTGAACGAAATATTTATTAATGATATTAAACAAGTTTATAAACCAATAAAAATTGTTAATATGGTATATACAGTAACGCAAATGTTACATTACAATTTCTTTCATAAATAAATGTCTTATATATTAATATAAAGTACAACGTCGCATCATAAACAAGACGCTTGCGTTTGACGCTTGCGTATTTTTGGATGTTTAATATTATAAAATATTGATTATAAAATATATTTTAAATATAATGCTATAAACATTCACAAAAACATTCACACAGGTGTTGAATATTTTCTGCTAAAGTGTAACTTATCACTGTCTTGGTTTATCATGGATCTTTCAAGTAAGCTATAATTCATATTTAAAATTATTTTCATGAAACATATCTTATATATTGAAGTATGGAATATGCAAAGAATCATAAAGATATATCAAAGAAAGTTTTAGCAGTTTGTTGGTAAATTTTAAACATATTTCACATGTTTTTTGAAAATGGTCATACAAACACATGTGCGTCACGTTTTCCTAAAATAATGTACATGTGCAATATGGACAAACATATGCATTATTCATAGAACCCTGAATTGCCAGACAGCTTATTAAACTACTTGCCCGGAGGGGTGCCTTTTAAGGGTTGAGCAACCGCGTAAGAGGCGACTAAATGTCTTCTTGGAGTCTATGCTCCTTTCAGCTCCAGCAAGTGAAGTGGTTTAGACACCTGGTGGTGCATTAAGTTTGTTACAACCAAGGATATACAAAATCACCATTCCTTTTTCGGCGCCATATGATTTTTATTGCGTTCGTGCTCCGTAAAAACAAACAAAAAGTGAAATAAACCACCCGGCCTACATTAATGTTTTATTTTATATTCAGAAGTGCATACTATATGCATAGCAAAGACAATGTATTCAATTGGGGTTTCGATAGGTTTCTGTCTCTTTCCTTATACAAAATAATTTGAAGACTGGCGGAAAATAAACAAGTTTCTTTATCTAATTGGCCACCGGAAAGCCCCTCAAATAGAAGTAAACCATCGGTATGATATTGTAATTGCCAATTATGTGCAATAAATAATAATTTTCTATACAAGTGAAAAAAGACAAGTAAAATGGAACTACATTTAGAGTTTGTTACATGTTTGAATACAGTACTATTAACAATATCATGAATCAGATAAATACTCTAAGCATGGCGTGAATTAAGACTATAAATTCTACTTCAGGTTTTACAGTAGGCAATGCAAAGCAATATATGGAGTAAATGAAGTTGTTTTATCCTAAAATAGAATCATTGTAATGAAATGATCAAGGGACACATTGATTTTTCCGGTAGCATCATAGAATTAGACTTTCAAAGAAATATGTCGTCTGTTGTGCGTTTGTTTTTCCAGATAAACAATTACCACACGGGAAGCAATTAAAAGATTATAAATAATGAAACACCAAGTGCTCAACTTCATTAGGAGATAATCTTGATTTGCTGATACGGAGCTTCTCGTTGCCACGTGAGCTGTTAACATTAACAGATGTCACTATTTTGTTAGAAATCATCTTACGCTATAACTTCATAATGACTGTAAAAGTAACTTTCTTTTGAGAAATAACAAAATAGACAAACTTGGGAATATATGATTATATCATATTATAATGTTGTTTTTTTTTTCTTTCTTTTTTCCATTTATTTGCTTAGCCTTAATATGGGTATAACAGGAAGCGTTCTGTTATTATAGGGAAACGTTTCGTCATCAACATATATGTCGATTATTGTATTCAATTGTTCAATGATAATGGTTTTGAGCAACATTTGCGATTGATTTACACGAGTAACAGCTGATTTTAAACCGATGCACAAACGTTGTTAACCGACACAAATACATGTTTTAAATCGTTTTAACTGTTGATGTTGTGTATTTATACGCATTTATTGGAGTATTTGCAATACAGTTCACTTCACATGCCACACAAAATTAAAATTACAAACGGTCGATGTCGGGTGTTTTAATTCATTCGTTAGTTTTGTTATTGTTCTTTCTTAATTATTTGGAGATGGTTTATTTTTCTTTATTTAGTAGGTCAACACAAATTGATTTTTTATCTTCTTTTTTTCCCAAAAGTAAATGCAGTAGCGAACATGAAGCGCGTTGTCAATTATTCTTTTTGAGTACACAATTTATTATGTTAAGAACCGATAGCGCCAATGCAATACCAATCTTTAGTAATTAATTGGTTGATGTTACATACATTTTGCTTTCGTTTGAGAAAGTACATTGTTAAATATGATGCTAAATGTGTCTTTCTTAAAGAAACAACATCTGCATTCGTTAGCTTTTATTGTCATATGATATTCAATTATGTTAGTGTAAAACAATAAAAAGGCATTGTTAAACTTAATAACCTTATGAAGCGGGACTTCAAGTAAAAACAATTATAACCACGCTGTTGACAACATTGACGAAATACTATTAACAGAACCTTGATAACTGGTTCAGATTTAAATATAACTGTAGCGATCAGTATAAAATAAAGAAATCCGAACAGCCACACAGCTAGCGATAATGCAACACAAACATAAATGAGCTGTGTCATGACAAAACCAACAAAGCACAACAGCAAAAACACAACAAAGCAACATAATGGGTTTGCGCTCAGCATGGATCGAGACCAGCCTGCGCATCCGCGCAGTCTGATCAGGATCCATGCTGTTCGCTATCAGTTTCTCTACTTGTAATAGAGTTGGTAAGCGAACAGCATAGATCCTGATCAGACTGCGCGGATGCGCAGGCTGGTCTGGATCCATGCTGGGCGCAAACCCATTATGTTGCTTTGTTGTGACACAGCCCAAATGGTTTCGGTATCTTGCCATACAAGTACTGTAAATCATTGTAAATGTGATTTATTTTAGCTTCTCTATGTTATTTGGTCACAAGAAACGTTATGTTTTCTCCTTGTGATGTCCTATCATTATCGTTAAGATGATCTAACAAGGAATGTTTTGCAATTTCAAGTGCTATAAGCCCATTTGATGGAAAAAAATTCATTGGCAAGTTAATGCGTACAAGAATTCCTCCCTGGGTTCGGTTAAGACTGAATATCATAATAAATAAAATGAAAATGTTAAAGAATGACAAGCATGGCAACACAGCAAACGGAAATGGTATTTATTTCGGAAAATCTATATATATATACAGTATGTATTTAATTGTAAATATAGATAAATAGCATAAACTATTATTCTTATATTAGTTATGCATAAATGGGAAGTCATAGAAACCAAAATCTATGCACAATGTAACCATTTATAGGTACATACGGTTCGGTTTCTAAAAAAGAAATGTTTATGGTTTAATTTTAGCCCTGATAATGAAATGTGTACACATTATATTTTTTGATCCAATTTCAAACATTTTTAATTCCAATTCATATGTTATAAGATTCTGTTCTTAAACTGTAATGAGAAACTAGAATGTTTTAAAAATGTATTTTTTTAGGATTCACGTAATAAAAACTATAAAATATATACAGTGTAATTACATGTTTGATGTTATAGTGTTTAAATATTGTTATTTGGAATAATAATAAAAAGAAAAATCAATGGAATAAAAGCAATTAACTCTACATAGAGAAGTGTTTCACTTTAACATTGAAAACAATTGGCTTGGGTGATGAAATGACATTTAAAATATCTTTTAGTTTAATTGGATAAAATTATGCCTTCCATTCAAATTCCTTATAGAGGCGTGAATTAATTTATGATTCTGAATCCTATTTCATAGAAATACAAAGGAGTTTGCATCTGCCATCATAATATACATTCGAGTGCTGATAACATTATATATGTATGTAACCATACTTTTTAAAGGTCTGCGTGATGTATTAAATTCAAAGTTTACTTAGATATTAGTACAGAATAAAAAAACAAATATTCACTGCAGTTTGGGTAGTTCAAGTTATTGATATTGTACATAATAATCATTTTATCATGTAATTATTCCATCAGTCAGTTTAATCTTTTATTTAAGTTTCATCATTGTATAAGTCATAACATTATTTATACATGAAATTCATACATATTTATACATTGCATATAGCCATTCTAAAATATTATTATAAACGGCTATAAGGCATTATTTACGGACTTTTATAACACTTCTACATCAACTCTTTGGCATGAAGGTTGGATATTCCTTCACTTTATTACATTACCAGGTATTATGTAATTATATCTTTTGTCAGCTGATTTTATGCATGTCACAATGTAATATTTCAGACATAAACATTCAACATTGACCTACATTGTTTTTCAAGCCTCTGATATATAATAGTTTCCAAGTGTTCGTGTTCATTGAGATATATAATAACACTCTGCCGTATCGTCGCCAAGATCACAAGGTGAGATATTATATCAATCTATAAGTAAAACACTTTTAAATGATGGCGCATTTATAAAAAGGTGTTTTTAACAAATAAGTGACTTTATTCCATTAAAATTACATATTTGCATATTGTTGATTTTTTTTCGTGTTTGAAAGCCTTTTAAATGGTTATGTATACAAATAGTGTAATTTATTATTTTTTTTTAAATAACATATAAATAAATGTTATAATTGTTTTAAAGAAAGACAAAAACAGTATCTGTTTTAAATGAAATTAATATAACATTTATCTGTTTGTAGAAATGGTGACGAGTAGGTACATTTAGCGAATAAAAGCTGTTTACAATTGAACAAAATAATATTTGCTTTAAATATTTTAATATGTATATTATATCATTATGTTATATTTGATAAAATTAACAATGTTGTTGTACATGTTGTATTTATAAGTACAGAAAAACATTATTTTGTTTTTTATTTATAATTGAACATTACTTTAGATATTTTTTTAAAAATCAAATTATGTTATATCATCTATTCGGGTGGAACAGAGGCTCGCTCGTTAGTGATTTTTGTTACTAATTTTGGACTTTTGTTTTCATTATAGACATCTTCTTGCACTGTAGAACATTTCAATAAACGATGTATGAGAACTATCTTGTTTCAAACTCCAAGGTTGTACGGAAATGATTTATTATTTTACCTTAAATAAATTGTTTTATTAATATTATGATCAATCAGGAAGAAACTCAAGACGTTAACATTATAATTAAATACTTGTGCTCAATTTATTTCAGCTATATTATGTCCCAAAAAAAAATATGCAAAAATTACTTTCCCATGTTTAACCCAATTTATTTTCACGGGCCCCCTTGAAATTACAATTAAGAAAGGGCTAAATGTTTAAAGAGTTAATTAAAACGTTGTTTTAACAAATTTCAAAATTTCGCTATTTTTTGTTTTTGAAAAAGGACAAAAACATTAACCCTTTAAAAAAATTTAAACCCCATTTTTATTTTTGTTAACCATTGGGCCAAAAAAAATTTTTTCAAAAAAAAATCAATTTTAAACCGCAAAAAAAATTTTGGAGTCAAGTATCATCCCAAATCCCCCCTCATTAAAAACCCCTTTCTTTCAAGAAAACAAACTTAAAGGCAAAGCAATAAGAAAAAATTTTTACATTCTTTTGAGGGGCTGGGACAGATGGGGTTTTTTGCGGATTTAAAAACCCCCTGTTTCCCTTTTTTAAAAACCCGTTTTGTGATGTGTTAAACAGACCAACCATAACACAATGAATTAAAAGCTTTAATACTCAGTAAATAACATTGCATAAAACAACTGTTTGAAATTTCTAAACGATAATAATGTTTTATCATTTAGCAGATCTGTATCAAGTGTTTAAAAACTAGAAAGATTAAACGATATCACATTTTAATTGAATCGTAAATACACTTAACACACCTTTTAATGATCATAAGCTATGGGCTATGTCTGTGAAAAAATCGTTGAAAATTCCTTTAATAACAAAAACAGTCATTGTTAGAAATAGTTTCCACCCATGTTGCTGAATAGTTAAATTGTTTATATAAAGCTCATAGATTTGCAATTGACTTTATTAATAGAGGGATAACTTTGCATAAAATGATTTATTATCAAGGAAATGAACTCTATTATTTTTATAAGGTTCATCTTATGACTATATCATGTTTTAAATTATTGTCGAGATTTTTGCTGCACATTTCCAACTAAAAGATTAAAATAAATAAAACCGTCCTTGTCTCATTTGCTTTGACAACTCACAACTCATAAATTTGGTATTTTAAGTGTCCATTTTATTGCTGTTTACTTCTTTTGTAAAATGTATTTTTTGCTTTGTTTTAAATACGCTTCACTTTCGACACCGCCAAAATGTGTGTGTGTTCCTTTCTACGATTTTATTCCTTGAACGAAGATTGACATCTATTTTACATGTTAGAGAAGAAATTACATCTATAATATATATTCAACTTTGCTGAATAAAATTTTTATTCTTATATCGTAGTTTTTAATAAAGTTAGATTACATATAAAAATCCTGTAGATTCAGTACAAAATATATATATGAACCGTGTCACGACAAAACCAACATAATGGGTTTGCGACCAGCATGGATCCAGACCAGCCTGCACATCCGCGCAGTCTGATCAGGATCCATGCTTTTCGCTATCAGTTTCTCTACTTGTTATAGGGATTGTAAGCGAACAGCATGGATCCTGATCAGACTGCGCGGATGCGCAGGCTGGTCTGGATCCATGCTAGTCGCTAACCCATTATGTTGGTTGGTTTTGTCGTGACGCGGCTCATATATAGTTTGCGTATTCGTAAATTTTATTGCAAAGGTGTGATAAAAGTTAAAGCCATGGTCAATGGCGTGTTTGTCCTTTCTACTTCGCATTTTTTTTTTAAATTTCTGATTGCTAGTTACAGATTCTAAATGGTAATTCATTTGTCAAATACCTGAGTTAGATTTTGCTCCTTTTTTGAGATTTAGCAATATGTGCATTTAATTGTCGTAGTATTCTGTAAAATAAGTAAAATATCACTTTATTCACATTTAGTTACATTTATGACTAACGATATCCCAATCAGCGCTATTTTTGTCAGGTGATAAGCATCTCGCATAATCTAAACCCATGAATACAAGATTAAAAGAAGTATGTTTGCCCTTATTACAGAATGAAAATTATGCATTTCAAAGGCTTGTTCTGCCTTGGAATAAAATAAAATAAAAAAAGTTACATTTTGTATTAAACGAACTTACCTTTTAAGATAATTTTTCCGTGAAGTACACCAATAATTAAAAGCCATTTTGAATTAGTTTAAATGTTTAATTTCACAGTATACGTTTATTTATAATCACTTTTCTTGTTGTTTTTACTCCAATTTATTCTAATAAATTTCACGTCTTTTCAACAATTTTCAAATCACAAAACAGCAGTTTAATGCTTTCTTGTACAATCGCAATATGTTGTAAAACGTATTTTTCACCATTAATTATTTCACAATAATTAAATGCGTCCAAGTGCTTTCATTGCCAGCCCCAAAACGATGTTTTCCTTTTTTTGTACCCAATTTTTCAGTCCTCTTTTTTCCCCCGGGGAAGGGGGTATATTTTGAAAAAAAATAAAAGGCAAAAGAAAAACAATTTCTGGAAACAACTAAAATTTGAAAATTTATAACTCCGTTTATGCGATAAAAGTATCAACTCTGTGGAGTCCCAAAAGAAAAATCCCATTTTTTGCATTATAAAGGGCAAAAAGGTTTTAAAGAAAAAACATCAATAAAACGGGAATATAGTGTTTTATCAAAAGAATTTTCCCCCGAAAAAAACACCTGTAAATTAAAAAACGAAAATTCCCCTTTCCCAATTTAAGAGCAGCTATATTTGGGAAAATAGCAAGCAATATCTATTTTTCTCTGTTGCCCGGGGAAACAAGAATAATCTTGTATAAGCAACCACAGAAAACGCGCATTGTGAAAGAGGCAACAATAAACTTGCAAGTATTGAAATTTCTGTTAATGTGTACGTTATGAATAGAACTTTCCCAAAACAATATATGTATTGGTTCTTTACGAAAAAACAAGACTGTTACAGTTAACATTTAATTAAATATATTTCGTCTGTAAAATAAAACATTTAATTTCATTGCAAAGCAGGCAAACATTTATCAATTATCTTATTTTAATTATTTCCCTTTATTTGCAAAATGTTGTCACAATATGTAAGACTTCCTTCCTGTGATTTGTAGCAATTTGAGCAGCAAGTTAAACAAAGGAGATAAAAATATATGTGTGGTACAGGAACCAAAAAATCAAACATAGGGCGAGGAGAAGGTTTGTGGTTCTACTCAGGTTCCCGCTTTTGTCTAAAATATTGAAGGAAGGGGAACATTAGGACGTCGTCTATCAGTTATGCTACGAAGTCGACGCATGCTCTTTACAGTGTCAATGTTACTTAAATACCCACAAAGCAAACGCTCAAATAAAAGAAATAAATAAAGTTAACTGAAAAAATGTCTTTAATAACCTTTTTTTTATCTCTATCTTTGCTATTTAGATATTGCAAATCGTGAACAAGAAGCTTTATAAACAAAGGTACTTTAGAAATAATTTAAAACCTTATAGAGAGTGTTGCTTGCCATATATTGAGTAATGTCTATAGAAATTATCAAAATATAACTCCAACCAGTTTAACAGAAAATGTGAAAACAAAGATCATAAAGAAAGGGCGTCATTCAACGAACGCATCCCCTAACACAACACAGTACCAACGGCTAGGAGCTAAATAGTACACCAATCAAAAAGGTGGGGTAAATAGGCAATGCATGGACGAGGTGTCATTATAAATAATTAAAGGCACATTATGCCTCGGAAACAAATAACTTGTTTACCTTTTTAGAAGGACACTCATGAACATTTTATCGTTTAAATAGTGGTTTTAAAGAATTTTAGTTAGATGCTTGTTACCTGAAGAAAGTATAGAAAATGTCAAATAATTTGTAATAAAAGGAGCAAACTGTAAACAAAGTAGTATTTTGACTTTCAAACAAAATACTACTCCACTATAACTGTACTTATTCCCTAAAAGCAACAGATGGGAAAAGATGATTAAGGTTTTTTTTGCCAAAAAAAGTATTTGTTTGGATACTATAGACATCAAGAAAATTAAAGTTTTTGAGAAATAGAAATAAAAGCATTTAAAGGCATAGTAGACCTTTAACGATTACTCAGTAATGATATGTAAAGTATAAACCACGCCTACAAAATAGAAAGATTTCGTATATATGACTAAATGAAGGGTACTGTCAAAAGGAATATTTGTCAAAAAATGTTTCGCTTAAATGAATCCTTACTGTTGTTAAGTATAACCTTTACTTGTAAGGATTGCAAAAAAGATTTAATGCATTGATAGACAGATGGGCCATTAGCCATTTACACTCTTGGAAAGATGTCAACCTGTTAATGTCACATCTTCGTTTTTCTTCTCTTTCTTTAATTATCTATTATGACACATCTCAGAGCTGAACCCTTTTAGTGGAAAAAACATATCAAAGAATTCGTTGACAATTATTAATTATAGTTCTTTTTTAGGAGGATTTCTTTACTCTGAAGAGGGTCAACATTATGTTATATATTTAAGTTTAACATTTTATAAAACGTTTTTTAAAGATGTTAAGAACAGTGCTTTGCCTTATGCCTTGTCTTGTTATTGTTTGGTGTCCTGCTGGGCTCCTTTCCGGTGGTCTTGTGTTGCTTGGTCGCGTGGGGTTTGCGTACAGTGAACACCGCCCTTCCTTTAAGATCTTTTTTATATATACATTTTAAGAAAATCCAGTAAGTATTGATACATATTGAATTATCGAAGCATAGAAAACAATCGTACCCAGTATATTGCACTTAAACACTAGTATTTAGTGTTGGAAACCTGCTTTTATTTATTCATTACTTTCTGATATCGCACACACATAATCCGTCACATTTATTAACAACAAATTTTTATATAGCTAGCAAATACCAAAAATAATAACTAACTTTACTCGCCATTCACAGACCTTGGCTACCACGACTTAATCAAAATAAGATTGAGTTTTTTTTAACGGGCTCTTTTTATCATTCATGTCATATAAATATTGTGTATAGTAGTGAATTTAAAATGCATTAAGTGATGGCCGTTATGTCAAACGTAAAAGTTATCTCTATATAACCAACATCAATACATAATTATGTTCCTTGCATTTAAAACAAATAAAATATTCTGTCCAAAACAGTATGTCCATTATAAAGATTATGACTTGTTTCAAAGATGAAATATAGTGTTAGCGAAAACGTACATGTATGGTAACATATATGACAGCTGATTTGGTAAGTTTCTAACTCCTTTAACATGAATATTTTTTGTATGCTGATGGTGAAAAATCTGCGTATTTGATTTTCTTGTCGGCTACTGTTATTTCCTTTTGTGCATTATTAGAGTGATTATACTGTCCGTGCTCTACCTTATGCCCTGTTCTGTTTTTTTTTTTTGTTTCGGGCACCTGGGTCATGTGCGGGTTGCGTTTGTTGAACGCCGCCTTTCCTTGTTTGTCTTGTGTATCATATTTTACATATTTGTCTTACGAATTTAAATAGGTTAGCAGTTTCAGATTTCGTATATTCGACATTTAAAATTGTAACACGACTAGTTAAAGTAACAGGCTATTTTTAATCCAAGTATAAATATATATTAGCAAAGAATATAAAATATGGTAATCAGTAAAAAAGTCAATGGATTGGACAATAAACACATAATCCTTTGAGGTTTGTAATTACGTGTCCATTTTTGGTTCCATTCGTGTAAGTAACTTTGTTATGACTTGTCCAGACGAAAGTAAAATCTATTTTACTTTGTCATTTATGAGGTCAACTAAAGGTCAAGTAAACTAATACAGCATTTTATAGAAAAAAATGTTGTATATGTTTTATCTTGCAGAAAATATCTTGTTCTTAAAATAACAACCACTTAGACTATAAAATTAATGAAAACAAAATCTTTAAACAATTTTGTCTCTATCCCCGGACGATGCTGATTAATAGCGTGTAGGTATCGCAGTCACTTACACTTAAAAGACATACCGCTTTCATTTTGGAATTTTTATTATATCTGCTTAATAATCCATTATCTCAACTATGCTTGATTTTCTACAAAGTTTTATGTCATTACCAAATGCCAACAGCATTGTTTATATGTTAGTTTCATATTTAGTTTTTGAATAATTTTTCAATAAGAATGTACAATATAACAAACAGTTAAGTGAAGTTTTCTATTTTTATGTAATTTTTTCTTCTAACACAATTTCCAAACATCTAAGAATGTTTTCAATATGTACGGCTAGAGTGTATGCATATTACAATTAAACGTTTTAATTGATTTATCCATTTTTATTGAAAAAAATCCCGGCTTAGACTTTGTTGAAATTACATTTCTTATTGCCTCCCTTTATTTACGTGAAATGTTAAATTTCATAATATCTTTATAAATAATGGTTTTTGAAGTTAAACTTTCCTTTGAGCAACAGATAGTGATATGAAACAAAAATAAATGTGTTAAAAGATCTTTTATTTTATGCTTTTCAGTGGATTACTGATTTATCCGTGAAAATTATATTTGGTAATTTCACAGTGAAAATTATCAAAATATAATTTCACTCTTTTCAATGACGAAACTACTTTTTTAAGATTTTCCCCATGTGGTACCTCAATTTTATTTTTGCTGACAATTCTGACAATGTCAGGCTGTTTAAAGAAAAAGCAAAACTGAAATTGATAAATAACTTAAATGTCATAAGTAATAAAAAGAAGAAAACTTACTTCTATTCATTCAAATTCATGAAATTCCAATCACCAAATTTCGTTTTTTTGTTTCATTTTGACAGTCTCAAAAATACATTCCTTCCCAATGCAAAACTGCTCTTGATGACATTTGGGCATATTAAAGTATCCTACGAGCAATAACTGCCGTATGCATTATGAAAAATTGAAAGCATTGACAGCCATAACTCGAAGAATAAGTTAAATCAACCAGCGTTCTTGAGCAGGTTTCCAAGTTTTCCATTTTCCTAGCTCCTTTTCTGAATGTTTTCACATCTGTCAACACTTATTTTTTGTCTGTTACAATCCTCAAATAAATTTTCTTTCTTTTAAAATGTGTATGACTAACAAATCCAAATTATATCCCTCTGAATCTTACACAATTATTTTCCTCCCATGAAATACACAACTTTAAAAAATGGCTGCCGCTTACAATTTACTAAGCCAGGTCTAATATAAATTCGCACTAAGTAACAGAAATATGGATGGATGGTT